TTAGGCAAGGTTCACACTATTCCAATGTGTCAGGCTTGTTACATTGTGCTTTAAAGGTGTATCAAAGCAGCCCATTCATTTTGCATGGGCTGCCAACGCATTAATGAATACCTGGCCTCTTTTCAGGAATGCAATGCACAGTGGTGTGTTGTGAGGCTATCTAATGTGCTGCAGTGCAGGTGCGTTGCCTTCTGAATTAATGGCACCCCAGCACATGGACACGTGGAAAATGCACAATAGTGTGACCGACCATTAAAAACTACGGTCACTTTACCCAGACTGTACTTTGCACATTTAGTGCAGGGGATATAATACGGGGGGAAGATGTACTAGGTTAGCCAGTCCCACGGCGGGAGGGAAATCTGCTGGAATGAAGGATAAGGTGAATATTTAATATTTCTATGTGCCCTTAGATCTACAATCCACAGGGATCTACACACTTTTCAGTATGAGAATATTCACAGGCCAAAAAAAAAAAAGAAGAAATAACAGTAAGGTCCCACTTACATCTGGGTCTATATCAGAGTTCCCCCTTACATTAGGATTCCCATTAGAGTCCTTCCTTACATCAGGGTTCCCATCAGAGTTCCCCCTTCCATTAGGATCCCCATTAGAGTTACATCAGGGTTCCCATCCCAGTCCTCCCTTACATCAGGGTCCCCATCAGAGTTCTCCCTTACATTAGGGTCCCCATCAGAGCCCACCTTATATCAGGGTCCCCATCAGAATTCCGCCTTCCATTAGGGTCCCCATTAGGGTCTACCCTTACATCAGGGTTCTCATCAGAGTTCTCCCTTACATTAGGGCCCCCATTAGAGCCCCCCTTATATCAGGATCCCCATCAGAGTCCCCCCTTCCATTAGGATCCCCAGTAGGGTCCACCCTTAAATTAGGGACCCCATTAGAGTCCCCCCTTATATCAGGATCCCCATCAGAGTCCCCCCTTCCATTAGGATCCCCCATCAGAGTCCCCTCTTCCATTAGGATCCCCATTAGGGTCCACCCTTACATCAGGGTTCCCATCAGAGTTCCCCATTCCATTAGGATCCCCATTAAGTCCCACCCTTACATTAGGGTTCCCATCAGAGTTCCCCCTTCCATTAGGATCTCCATTAGGTCCCATCCTTACATCAGGGTTTCCATCAGAGTTCCCCCTTCCATTAGGATCCCCATTAGGTCCCACCCTTACATCAGGATCCCCATCAGAGTCCCCCCTTCCATTAGGATCCCCCATCAGAGTCCCACCCTTCCATTAGGATCCCCATTAGGTCTCACCCTTACATCAGGGTTCCCATCAGAGTTCCCCCTTCCATTGGAATCCCCATTAAGGTTACATCAGGGTCCCCATCAGAGCAGAAATACTGCTACAGGGCGGCACAGTTGCGCAAAATCACGTTTATATGCATCGCCATTTGCAGTCTCGGCTGTCATTCACTGGGTCCCAGCCGGTGATTCCCCGCCAGCACCCAGCGATCACCGAGTATCAGTGACAGGGGAGAGACCAGTATATAAACAACACAGATCTCTCCGCTGTCAGCTCCTGCACCCTGCTTTGTATGGCTCTGCATAGCACAGCCATACAAAGTAGTGTACTTGCAGTGTAAAGCACACACAACAGCACACAGTTAACCCTTTGATCGCCCCAGATGTTATTCCATTCCTGCCCAGTGTCATTAGTACAGTGTCAGTGCTTTTTATTAGCACTGATCACTGTATTGGTGTCACTGGGGATATCAGTAGCAGTTATTCAGTTCCCCCCCAGTGTCAGAATGCCCGCCGCAGTCCTGCTATAAGTTGCTGATTGCCACCAATATTAGTAAAAAAAAAAAAATTCCAGTATATATACCGCCATTTGTAAACGCTATAACTTTCACGTAAACCAATTAACTTACACGTATTGGGATTTTTTTAAGCAAAGACATGTCGCAGAATACATTTTGGCCTAAATTTATGACAAAATTTGATTTTTAAAATTTTTTTACTTGACAGGTTTAATAGCAAAGTCAAAAATATAGTTTTTTTAAAAACAATTATTGGTCTTTTTTTGTTTATAGCACAAAAAATTAAAAATGCAGAGGTGATCAAATACCGCAGAAAGAAAGCTCTATTTGTGGGAAAAAGGGGCGTAAATTTCATTTGGGTGCAGCGTTGCATGACCGCACAATTGTCAGTTAAAGTAACGCAGCGCCCTATTGCAAAAAAAAAAATGGCCTGGTCAGGAATGGGGGTTAAATCCTTTGAAGGGCAAGTGGTTAAAGTGGCTCTTATTAGACAACCTGTATTTGAATGGAAAAGGTATCCCACGGGGGAGATGGCTGAGGACATAAATAATAAGACCGAGAAAAAAAAGCCGCCGCTGACAAAAAAAAGAAATGTCCTTTCAAACTTTAATTAAAAGATCGCTTGAATTGTGTTCCCTGTTTTGTTTAGCTATTGTTCCCTTAAATTAATTACATTCATACTGATCCTTAATTTAATAAATCTGAATTAGCATCGCTCCGTATACAATGTGACTGTTCGCCGCTTTGCCAGGCATAGAAACACCAAGCCCGTCTCTTCCATTATGAGCAGCTGAATAGCGAGAGATAGAGAGGAATCTTCGCTGATATCAGGCGATCATGTGACACTTGGCGGCCATTTAATAGAGCTGTTTTGGTGGAAGAGCATTGTACATCCTCTCTCAGAAAGTAATAATGCGCCCAGGCTTAGGTGAGATATTATCTTATAATGAATGTGAAAGTTACACGGTGCCTGGATGACAGAGCTCACAGGCCTCTCTGATAAATTGCTGCGGAGAGAGAACAGATAGGATCTCATAATTAGTCACTGACAAATCTCTGTAAAGGTGGAGGAAAGCCTCCAGGGGATTGGCTGCGCACCGCCGCGGAACAAATGCCATTTTATATGCTCTGGAAGTATAACTCTCAGCTTACAAGGCCAGGACTGTTTTTTCCCCGCTATGACAATCCAAGACACACTTTTTTGTTTCTGTTTTTTCTTTTTTTTTTTTTCTTTTTTTTAAATATTTATTGATTTTCAAAATATTAGGAAATTTAAAATCCACAATATAAATTCTCTACATTCATATAACAACAGTATCTAATTTAAACATTCATTTCCCATATTTTCCTTATTTCTCCAACCCCCCCCACTAGCAGCTCCATAGTCACCCCCCCACCCTAACCTCCCACCCCACCCTACATCCACCGCTCTTTGGCAAGAGAAAAAAGAGGCTCTAAATCGTGCTCTCATCATAAGGGGGCAAGAAAAAGAGAGGCCTTATGTGGCAAACTTGCTCATCCTTGTTGGAGCGGAGTCCCCCTTTACACTCTCTTTTTCGTGTTCTGTCTGTGTATTTGAGGTCTTCCTGGAATCATTCCTCACATCCCCCCTGCATTCCTGTGAGGCAGACTTTATCTCCTGGCAGATGAGGTGGAACAACCTAAGATATTAGAAGTGGAGACACGCTGTCTACAAACGTGTCACTTTGTTCACCCAAAGCTATGTAAGCCCCACACCTTATCAACCTGACCCAGAACTGAACATTCCTCAGGTCAGACATATGTTTCATATCATGGGACATGAGCTGGCAGTTTCAGTTTAAAATCTCCCAATGACCACTCCCAAAAGGTGTAGTCAGAGCCTCCCCTCCCTTTGTGAGGGACTTTTAAAAAAGACAGGCTGACAAGCCTATAGAGAGAGTGAAAGTTTTTTAACACAGAGAGATCTCCCAGCAACATCATAACAAGAGGAGATCAAAGAAATCACCCTGCTCACAACTTGGACTGCAAACCCAGGCTAAGGGCAAGTAACTCAACCCTGTAATCTTCTTCCTAATTATCTCTTTGCTGTGTCTTTATATACATATATATATATATATTCTTGTGACATCTTTGTAACTATTTATTTGCATCTGTTTGACCCTGTTAGAAATAAATCTTTCTTTCTGAAAGTGTTAAACTGTTTCTAAGCGCTTACTTGCAATTCACAAATCCCTGCCTTTGAAGAGACGCTACTGTTTGTATATCTCTGTATAGCAAGGTCCGCGGGCCGTGTTATATAGATCAATATTTCAATCATTATAGTGTATATTTGATAACGGGAGTTTCCCAGTCTCCGACAAAAGTGGTGGTGGCAGTAGAGGGTTAGTTGCGTAACTAACCCGACCCAGTAACAAGCGCATTCAGGCTGCAGGCACCGATTGTAGTCCATTAGCTGGGCAATCGCTGTGTAGGGTGCAGCTGGGTGGGGCCTTGTTACGCGCGTCACACCGCGGTTTTTGGATCGGCCGGCCCTTCGGTCACGAGTTTGGTGAGAAGGTCTGGGGTCTGACGCTGTGGGCGTGACGTATTACTGTTAGTCGCGGCTGTGCGATTGTCGCCTGTTGGTGGCGGCGACCGCGGGTCGTGACATCTTACTCTCGTCCATTCACACTTGATCTAAACTCTTCCCATTTTTTCCATTTCGCCTGATATATCCCCATACCATCTTCCTGGGCATAAAACAGTTTCTCTAATCTTACAATATGGTCCATTCTAACTATCCAGTCTTGTTTTTTTGGAGCTTCTAGTTGATGCCAAAATTTTGGAATCAATCCCTTGGCTGCATTTAGAAAATACCATATTCTTGATTCTTTATATTTATTTACTGCTATTTCTGTATTATGTAAAAGGCAGGTTCCAGGGTCCAGACTAATATCAATTTCCGTAATCTTTCTAATTTGGTTTACCACTTCTCTCCAGAAGTTTCTGTTTTTTCATCTTGTGATCTCCTGTACACATAGTTGGGCCTTATAGAAGCCTTTACAACTCTGTATGAATCCCAGGTATGGTATATTTTATATTTCAATCCTTTTATTGAAAAGACCAAACGTACAAATTAGTGGTGCACCAAAATGAAAATTCTGGTGTCGAAAACAAAAATTCAAAATGCACTCGGCTGAAAACCAAAACCGAAATGCGCAGTTTTTAAAAATTACAAAAATTCGGTTTACCCAAACCTATCCCTAGGTTCACACTTATGCGGCCAGACGGGCCGTGTTTTTCATGGGCACGAGAGCCCATTTATTTGAATGGACTCCCGTGCCCCGTGACACGCAGGGAAAACTACCCTGTACTACTTTGGAAAACGCAGCCCGCACGGGAGCCTCGGTTCCCAGCACGGTTGCGTTTCCCAGGTCTTTGGGAGATTGGGAATATTGTTGTGAGAAGTCTCCTTGGAATGAAATAAGAACTCCTTGGAGGGTCTCACCACACCAGAACATACTGCAATCCAGTGCTAGCAGTATCAGACAACTGCTGCATCAACCCTTTCAGCACAGAGGAAGAAAACTTTTAACCCTGTGTAGTATGTGGAGTTCTGGAAGGGATAAGAGGAGAGATAGATCCCTGGAGTTCTGGAAGGGATAAGAGGAGAGATAGATCCCTGGAGTTCTGGAAGGGATAAGTGGAGAGATAGATCCCTGGAGTTCTGGAAGGGATAAGAGGAGAGATAGATCCCTGGAGTTCTGGAAGGGATAAGTGGAGAGATAGATCCCTGGAGTTCTGGAAGGGATAAGTGGAGAGATAGATCCCTGGAGTTCTGGAAGGGATAAGTGGAGAGATAGATCCCTGGAGTTCTGGAAGGGATAAGTGGATAGATAGATCCCTGGAGTTCTGGAAGGGATAAGAGGAGAGATAGATCCCTGGAGTTCTGGATGAGATAAGAGGAGAGAGAGATCCCTGGAGTTCTGGAAGGGATAAGAGGAGAGATAGATCCCTGGAGTTCTGGAAGGGATAAGAGGAGAGATAGATCCCTGGAGTTCTGGAAGGGATAAGAGGAGAGATAGATCCCTGGAGTTCTGGAAGGGATAAGAGGAGAGATAGATCCCTGGAGTTCTGGAAGGGATAAGAGGAGAGATAGATCCCTGGAGTTCTGGAAGGGATAAGAGGAGAGATAGATCCCTGGAGTTCTGGAAGGGATAAGTGGAGAGATAGATCCCTGGAGTTCTGGAAGGGATAAGTGGAGAGATAGATCCCTGGAGGTGAGATATCCATCCATCCATTCTCATCCAGCACAGTGAGCATATATTTGAAGAACTACCAGGTGGAACATTTATATACTGCTATGAGGAATTACCTTTGAAGGACTGTTTGGCGCAGGATTAGTTACATCTGTCCTTTTAGGACAAAAGCGATTTTAGCCTAACACTTTGGGCTAACAAGGAGGTGAGCGCATAATAGAGCAGTATTTATTGGTATTATCCACCTATTGACTATCACAGGTTTCTCCCATCTCTCAAGAGGACTATTTATTGCATACGGACATTTCTGGAGATCATAATTGTTTATTATATTGAATATTTTTTTTTTTTCTCTTTTCTCCCTAACACCATTTGCACATGTATATTAATCACAATATTGTATGAGTTGGATATTTATTTATTCATTATCACATATTAGTATGGGTAATTAACACAGGAGCGCAGCACTATTAATTTTTATTGCGTTTCCCAGTGCGGGTGGCGTGCCATTAGAACTAATGTCACCCGCCCGTGGGTCTGCAATTCTCTGTTCAGGTGGTGTGGCTGTATGTCAAACTGAAGACTACTTGGTGCTGTGCAGCACAAAGTAGTCTTCAATTTGTCATTTTCCATTGGGTATATGGTAAGGTGCTAGCAGCTTTGTAGTATAAACTAATAGGGGATCTAGAGCGCGGGAGGACCATACGGATATAGGTGCGGCTGCACAGATTTTTGTGTGGATCCGCAGCGGCACCACCCGCATAGATGTGAACCGGGGGTAAATAACAATCTTAAAAGATTACTCTGTCACCCTAGATGCAAAAAGTTCCACTCTCTCCCCTGAAAATCCAAAGTCAAGATAACAGTCTCTCGGCGGCTTCTGTGATATCCTCAAATTAACCGTTTCAATACCGTGCAATTTTACACCTTCCTGCCCAGGCCATTTTTCAGGTTTCAGCGCTCTCACACTTTGAATGACAATTGCGCGGTCATACAACACTGTACCCAAACTAAAATTTTATCATTTTCTTCACACAACTAGAGCTTTCTTTTGGTGGTATTAATCACCACTGGGGTTTTTATTTTTTGCTAAATTAACAAAAAAAGACCAAAAATTTTGAAAAAAACCCACATTTTTCTTTGTTTCTGTTATAAAAGTTTACAAATAAATAATTGTTCTTCATAAATTTAGGCCGAGATGTATTCTGCTACATGTCTTTGGTGAAAATAACCCAAATTAGGATGTATTTTTTAGTTTTTAGGAAAGTTATAGAGTTCACAAACTATGGTATAGATCTGAAAATTGATCAATCCTGAAGTACTGACGGCCAACCTAATTTCTTGAGGTCCAAGAATGTCAGAATAGTACAGATATCCCCAAATGACCCCTTTTTGCAGAGTAGACAGTCCGACGTACTTCATAAGAGGCATGGCGAGTTTTTGAAGTTGTATTTTTTTGTCATAATTTTTCAGAAAATGAAAAAATGAAAAAAATTATTTTCACTATTTTTTTTTTTACATACTGTCATCAGTGCAGTACAGCGTCATCATATAACTGGCATGGCGGTGAACAGGGACACTGACTGGTGACAGTATGAAAAAAAAAATATGTATATATTTTTTTTTAAATTATTTTTAAATTTTTTTATTATATTTATTTTTTTATTACATTTTTTTAAATTTTTTTTAAGATTTTTTTTCATATTTTACTATGACCAAAATAGTACAATGTTACCATAGTAACATTGTACTACTTTGGGGAAGTGATCAGTATTTTTTTTTTTTTTTTATACAATTTGCTTATAGCAAAGAATTACTTTGCTATAAGCAAGCATTTACCTGAATGAAATCGATTCATTCAGCTTTTTTTTTTTTTTTTTTTTTTTGTGCTTAGCTGTGATTTGGTCACAGCTAATCACATGACATGTGCATGTGATTAGCTGTGACCATTCACAGCTAGGCACTAGTATACAATGGATGGCATCATGAATGAAGCCATCCATTGTATACAACTGTCATGTGACCTGCTGTGATTGGTCACAGCAGGTCACATGGTACCAGCAACGGGAGCCGGTACTCGGATCTGTCATCGGCCGTGTCCGAGGTGCACGGCCGATGACAGATCGCACTGCTGCGCCGCTCTGCACTAGCGCAAACGGCGCATGTGCGGGAGCACGACAAATGGCGTGCACCTGGAATGCAGATACACATCTGAAGCCGCCAAACGGCCATTGGCCGGGCGGCTAATGGTTAATGTGAATTCGTGCTCCTAAAATTAGTCCACCTTCAAAAAGGCATTCTTTATATCCATGTGTACTTCAAAAAAGAAAATTCTACATAGTGCATTACCCCACAAAACAGTAGGGAATATAATAAACACCCAGTGCTAATAAAGTGTCACACCACTTAGGGGTTTATTTACTAAAGCTGGAGAGTCCAAAATCAGACTCCCTTCTGCAGAGAAACCAATCAGCTTCCAGGTTTCATTGCCAAAGCTTCATTGAACAAGCTGAGGTTAGAAGCTGACTGGTTTCTATGCAGAAGGGAGTCTGATTTTGGACTCTCCAGCTTTAGTAAATAAACCCCATAGTGTCCACTTCTAAGCGGCTGTATTAAATACCTTTAGGGCTCATGTACACTGCAGCTGATAAACTCACGTTCAGGAGCTGTTCAGCGTTTTTTTCAGCAACCCCTGAACTCTCCCTAATGTTTTCCTATGTGTCCATATACACATCTGTGTTTACAGTCGTTTACAGGCATTTGAGTTTACAGTCATTTTTTTGGAATGCAGAAAACTTGCAGCAGTTGATCTTATCAGCGTTTCAAATGCAAAATGCTAAATGTGGAAAATCATGTTTATAAGCATTTGCGGTTTAAATTTTTTTTAACTCTTCCAGTTCCCGATGCTGTCCACAGCCTTTTTTCATCATGAAAAATGCATGCAAAGCATTTGCAAGGTACTCAAATGTACAAAACACTGAACACAGGATGTTTCCACCAAGCTTGTTGCACATTGTAATGACCAATTCACACCTCAGACTTTTCCCATCCTTGGAAACAAAAGATATGTTAATGACTATTCACACCTCAAATTCCTCATGAAGACCCCCTGCCAGGTGACCTTAATGACTCCCTCCACCAGACACCTTTTCCACCCTTGGAAACAAAAGAAATGTTAATGAGCAACTCACACCTAAGCTAATCTCAACACATACTGCTGGCAATAATGTCTCTTGTTCCACTGCCTTCCCTGAATCCCGCCTGATTTTCAGCTAGTTCTCACTCAATGTATGATTGTATTCTTCGTATTATTTTAAGTAATACTTTGCTAGCATGTGGAATTAATGCAATTGTTCCGTAACTGTTACAATCTTTGGCATCTCCTTTCCTTAATATAGGAATGACCAGTGATCTTCTCCAGTTGCTTGGCCATGTTTTTTCCTTCCAGATCAATTGACATTGGCTGGGTAAGGGCCATGATAGCACCTTCAGAGTCTCTGATGAACTCACTTGGAATTCCATCGATACCTGGTGACTTTAATGTTCGATAAAGCTTTAGTTGCTTCTATGACTTCTTCCTTTACTATATCTGGTTCACCACTGTCTGGTTCACACTGCTTTTTTTAATATACATTTCGGTATCATCTTTCCGTCTCTTTTTAATGTTCTCTGGAACATTCATTATCAGTCTGTTAGAATCTTTAAGCATCCCCAATCTAGGTTGGAATTTCTGCCTCAATCTTAATGTCCTGAAAAGCTATTCTGGTTTTTCCTTTTCCTTGATCAGCCTCAATTTTCTGACAAATATCCTTTAGATATCTTTCTGAACTTGGCGTTAAAACATTCGATTCATTTGAGATACTTTTAGTCTATCACCAGAAATTTTTGCTTGCCTTCTTTTTTCTGCTGCTTTTCTAGTTTTTTCTAAAAATCCAAGGTGACTTTTTTTGGCATTTTTCGTCATCTATAATGGTTTTTCAGCTTCTTCACTAATGTTGGTTTTGATATTGTTCCATAACTCTTCGGGCTCTCTATCTCCAGTATCCAGAACTGCAAATCTGTTGTTTAGTTTAATCCAGTAATCTTGTAGAATATTTTCAATATTATTTCTTAGAAGGTCTCTAAAGATCTTTTGCTTGCGAAGCTTTACCTAATCTTGCATGTCAAAAACTCGTGGTCGCTGGTACAGTCAGCTCTTGGTTTCATCTTTCATGTCAAAACTGCAGATTTACACCTCTGTCCTATGCAGATGTAGTCAATTTGATTACGATGCATGCCATTTGGAGAGGTTCATGTGTTTAGCCAACACTGGAACTGTGTAGTCATGATGAACAGATGATTAGTTTTGCAAAATTGTACAAAGTTTTATTATAATAATAAAAGTAATCACCGGCTTTGTTTCTTTCTCCTAAGCCATACTTGCCAACCACTGCATCTTCAGATTTACATCCTACTTTTGCATTGAAGTCCCCCATGATGATTAGTAGATCTTGATTCACTGCTTGATCTATTGCACTTTGGAGTTGTTCATAAAACAACTCTACATTCTCTTCTGCATCTGTTGTTGGAGCATACATTTGGATCAAGGTGACATTGATACGCCTTCCCTGTAGACAGATTGAGATGACTCTATAACTGATAGTATTGTATTTAAGTTCCGTCTTTGAGCGCTGATTGTTAATAATAATGGATAAATGCCAGGCTGTTTTTCTTATACGTTTAATGATCGGAGTAGCATATTCAATGTTCATTTGATTCAAAGTGTCCCCGTCCTGTCCATTTGAGTTTCCTGACTCCTATGTTGGCCTTATCCATTTGATCTTTAACAATTTCTAATTTGCCTTCATTCACACTACGTAAGTCCCATGTTCCTATGGAGATAATGTCTTTACAGCTTTTGATCTCCTTTATCTGTCCAGCAACATCAACACCAGGATGTCCCATAGGCTTTGATCCATCTGCTTCAAAATTATCAGGCTTACTTTTGGTGACCATCAGATCTTCCCTAGTAGCATGATGAGTGCCCTCTGACCTAGGGGACCATCTGTCAGCACTATATGACAGTTCTCTTAATTTTCTCATCATCATCAAGTTTTCTTGGCATAATACAAAAGTAGATTGCCAGACTTTTCTTCTGCACAGTATAAGTTTGATGTTGTCACCATTGTCATGTCAAACGTGATCTCCTTCCTTCAACACTGCCCATCTGCTGCTGTTCAAAGGGACGGTACATAATTAGTCTGGTATCTCCGCCACAACCTGTCTGCCTTGGGAGGCTGTGCTGGTAGTAAAACTAGTGACAGCATAGCTTTTGGCTTCATAGATACACGTAAGTATTGGCGACACGACAAGCCTATGTACCATTCTTTGATTTTATGGTTTGATCACGATCTTGTGTCATTTTGTTTTATTATCTCTTTTCTTCTCATTGGACACTCAATGATTCTCTACTGAACTATTCCATAATTAGCAATCTTCCCTTTCAGATATCTTCACAGCAGGGGCGGACTGACAACTCATAGGGCCCCCGGGCAATAGGGGATCATGGGGCCCCTGTGTCCTTGCCCAAACTTGCCCAAAAGGTACCAGGGGCATCTCATGGGGCCCCCTACTGACCCTGGGCTCTCGGGCAGTGCCCAAGTTTCCAAATGGTCAGTCCGGCCCTGCTTCACAGACAATACCTCCTTTATAAACTCTCCAGTGGCCCTATGAGAAGTTCATAAACCACTATTAGAGGCTATATTTTCCAACTAGCTTCACAAGGGAAAAAATTAAGACTACAAAAATGAGCTGTTCTTGGTGCAGAATCTGAGAATTTAATATCCCAGTTTAAGGCTAACCTTGACTCAGTCCTTAGG